TTTTTTATTTAGAATGACCTTTTTCCAGTATCAGCTCAGATTTAGTTTTTTCCCATCAATAGTTTAGGATACATATGTTGTGTTTTAGTAATTTTTTAGGAAAGCATTAATTAGAGAGAATCTTTATTTTCTTTAGAAAAGAAAACAAGAATGGCTTTTCATTAACCAAATTGAATTATAGCTTTTGAGAGGTTTCTGTGGCAAATCCTGTAATTCTATGAATATTTTAACTTCAAAAATCCTATAATTCTATGAATATTTTAGTTTAAATTAGGGTGTGTATTTATTTTTTTAAATACTGGTTGGTCTTAGAAGTTGCATTTTTCCCTTGTGGCTGGAGCATGTGCTTCCTGCTTACTCGCCTATCTTTAGTACACATATGGCCCAACCAGCAGCCCGACCTTGATGTTCCTAATTATTGGATAATTCAGCTTGCATAGTTCTGGGGTGCACTAATACTTTCTTAAAGGCAAGATACATGGCCTTTAGTATCAGTTTTTTAAATCTTTATTAATTTTATAACTGTACACTCTTGGAATTAGAATGCAAAATAAGACATTCATTCTTATGTCTTTAATGAGAATAACACTTTTAATTATGCCAATATCAATTTTTATTTTGAACTAATTTACCTTTATTCAATTCTATTTTATGAGAATAAGAGTTTTTCTTAAAGAACAAGAAATTAGATTAGAATCAAATACTAAACACAAATTTCTAGAATTCGTTGTCTTTTGTATAAAACAGTAGGCCTTGGAGAGTTTTTTGGCACCATAATAGTTGACTGACCCAGTTAATCCATTTAATAGCTCTAAAAAATACAGAGAACTTTAATTGCCACATTAATTGCATTTGAAATCCTTCTCCTCATTCTTAATGAAGACACATGACTTGATGCCTATTTGTAGAAATTTATTTCTGGAAAAATATGTGTTATCAAAGATTCTAACAACTTTTTATTGTCCCAGAGGAAGAAACATGTGTACCAACATAATAATGGTTAAAGTTAAGAATAGATTGTGGAAAATGTGATGGAGCATAGGTTCCCTGGCCTGTTCGGGGGAGAGTGGCAGTTTTCTCCAGTGAGGAAATGTACTAACAGAGAGGAATGCTTGGTTGTGAGGGGGAAGGGAGCTATTGCCGGAAAACTTCAGGCTGACCTCTTTGATCCCATTTTGTCAGAAATATCAGGCATTTAGAAAAACTTAAAGAAAATGTGTCAAAATGTTAACATAGGTTCTAGGTCATTTTTTAAAATCCTCATCTGAGGAAATATTTTATTGATTTTAGAGAGAGGAAGCGGGGGATGTGAGAGAGAAACATCGATCAGTTGTCTCCCATCTGCACTCCGACCAAGGACTGAACCAGCAACCTAAATATGTGTCCTGACTGATAATCGAACCCCCAACTTTTTGGTGTACAGGACAACGCTCCAACTACCTGAGCCACCTGGTCAGGCCTTTTCTTATTTTCTTAATGAAAGAAAAAAAAATTATTTCAAAATTTTAACTTGGGGAAGAGGGGTCACTCTACTATAAATTTCACCTTCACCTTTAAATAGGAAAAAATAGGCTTTTTATATTTATATTTTAAATAAAACCTTCCATTGTTATTGAAGTTTTAATTATAACACATTTTGTGTTTCTGTTCTTTGGACCTTTGCTCTAAGGAACTTTCCCAGAAATTCCTAGGCCCAAATCAGACTCTTGTCTGCCTGTTTACTTTTTGCTAAGCCTCTACTTATTAGGACCATATGTTATGAGTTATGTATCGTTGCTCATGATCAGCTGGATTTTCTGTCCTCATGTGACCTTTGTGTTAGAGCATCAATGTTCAGTTTGGTGGCACACTGGCGTGCCATAAGAATTTTTAAAATATGCAATACCTGGCTGGCCAGCATAGCTCAGTGGTTGAGCATCAACCTATGAATCAGGAGGTCAGGGTTTGATTTCGGTCAAGGGCATACACCCAGGTTGTGGGCTCTATCCCCAGGAGTTGAGCATGCAGGAAGCAGCCAATCAATGATTCCCTCACATCATTGATGTTTCTATCTCTCCTTCTCCCTTCCTTTCTGGAAAAAAAATTTTTTTTAAAGTGCAATACCTCACTATTTAGTCAGGGCACTGACCTCTTTTCCCTTAGATTATCAAATTAAAAAATGACAACAGTTAACACAATAGTTGTCTACTGTGAATGAATCAAAATTATGCTACCCTGGCCTGTGTGGTTCATTGGACATTATCCTGTGCACAGAAGGGTTTCCAGTTAGATTCCTAGTCAGAGCAAATGTCTTCAGTTGTGGGCTCCATTCTTCGTAGGGGACATGCAGAAGGCAGCTGATTGATGTTTCTCTCACATTGATATTTCTTTCTCCCTCTTCCTTTCTAATAATCAATTTTTAAATCTTTAATAAATTGAGCCCTTTTTTTCACATCAGCAAAATATATATTTTTGGTGTGCCACAGTATTTTAATTAGTTTATGTGTGCCATTAGATGAAGAAGGTTGAAAATCACTGCTCTAGAATAGTAACATGCCCCTCCTGATTATCTCTATAGTCAATTTATGAATTTCTCTGGGCCCATAATGCTGTTCGGCAACATTTTTCTTTAATTTGATATTTCTCAAATTGGCACTCTGAAATGTTAGTAAGTGGCATCAAAAAAGTCTGTGCTATGAGAAATCAGTCTACTTATATCCCTTTATAGGAAATTAATGATGAATATTAGCATTTTAAAGTATTCGTGACGTCCGGTAGTGAAGAATTCTCTTTATCATTCCCAAATTTATTTGTATATGGAACTTTTTCTCTTGAGGGATAATAACAACTCATGAAACAGTGTTTAATAGAAAACAAGTTTGAGAAACATTTATATACCTTATTTCCCTGTTCTTCGGCGTGGCTGTGAAGAACAACCCCATCTCAACCCTTTTTGTTGTTAGAACTATTCACTATTTCACTGAGAAAATGGAGGCTGTCAATTTCCCTCTTGATTTATGAGTGCCCTTTCATCCTTTCCTCTTGTCTACACATTGTTCTACCATCAGACTGTCACCAGAGAGCATAATATTTATTCATTATTGTATCTCTCGACCAAATACAACCCACATCCTATATGCTGGGTATATAGCAACTAGATATACAGCAATTCAATTCTGCACTGACCACCCACAGTTAGAACAGACCATACAAGTTAAAGGGCACGAGCCTCAACAAGACTGCACTTACTTCAGACACCAGCCACACTTTGGGGGTCCTCAGGTCACCCACACTTCTGACCAGCTGGCTATAAATCCAGATTTACCATGACACCCTCAGAATGAATAATTCACTGCAATGATTTGTAGAACTCCAAGAAGTACTCTGATTATGATTACAGTTTTATTATAAAGGATACAAATCAGGAGGACCAATCAAATGAAGAAACATTCATGGTCAAATCTGGGAGGAAATGCAGAGCTTCTGTGTCCTTTCCTCATAGAATCAGTGTGCGTCATCCTCCTGGCACATCAGTGTCTTCACCAGCCAGGAGAGGTTCACTGAGCTTTGGTATCTAGAGATTTTATTAGGGTTCCGCCACATAGATGATTAGTTGAATTATTGCCATGTGGTTGAACTCAATCTTTAGTTCCCCTATTCTGCTGGAGGTTGAGAGATTGAGTTGATATCCTGAGAATCAAAGCTACTCTCTTATCATGTGGCTGACCTTTCTGTACCTGAAGATATCCAGGTGAGACCTTGGGTCACTTCATAAACATAACAGAGGCGATCCTATTACTCGGGAAATTCCAGGGGTTTAGAGTTTCCCTGGAACCATGGACCAAGGCCACTCTAAAAAAATGGGGAAATCTCCCCTTGATCCTGCTTCCATGTATAACTACCACTCTCTTTTGCCTTCCATTACTGCCAGACTTCTCCAGTGCTAACTTTATTTGCTGTTTATACTTCTCATCCCTGGTTTACTTCTTAATATCATTCATTCACTTCTACCAAGTTCACAGACAGTACATTGTGGTCACTCAGTGGCCTCGTAATTAGTAAACTCATTTCTTTTTTTTGTCTCCAATCTAACCTGACTGCTCTGGTGTATGCCACTAGCTAATCCCTCTTCTGTGATGCCACTTTCTTGCTACCGTTCTAACTGTTCCATTTCAATCTCTGTCTTTGTTTCTTCCCATGTCTCAGATATTGTTGTTCTTTAGAATTTGATGCTGTGTTCACTTCTCACTAGAAACTCTCCATAGGCAATGTCACTAATTTCTGTATACCTTCTTTATGCCGTTTCCAAATTTGGATCTTTAGACTTGGCTTTACCTGCAATCCAGACTTGGATTTCTGACTTTACTGGAATTTCTATCTGGATATCCTGTAGGAACCTTAAATTTAACATGTCCAAAACAAAAGTTACTCTTTTTTTCTTTTTAATTTAACCTACATTATAAGTATAGTAATAGAATAGAGTCCACAGGCAATTGTAAGCATTGAATAAGATACTGCATAAAGCAAATTTAGTAAAATTCTGGCACATGGAAAGTACACAGTACATTAGCTAATATTACATGACAGTTTCCCTGTGAGACTACAAGTTTGTTTTTTTTAAATATATTTTCTTGATTTTTTACAGAGAGGAATAGAGTTAGAAACATCGATGAGAGAGAAACATCGATCAGCTGCCTCTTGCACACCCTCTACTGGGGGTGTGCCCGCAACCAAGGTAACATGCCCTTGACCGGAATCGAACCTGGGACCCTTCAGTTCACAGGCCAACGTTCTATCCACTGAGCCAAACCAGTTTTGGCAAGAGACTACAAGTTTTTGGAAGGCAAGAACCAACAAAGCACTGTCCTTGGCTTCTGCTAGATACACAGTAAACTTTTGTTGAATTAAAATGAATAATAGTAACGGATTGAATAAATTGTTTGTTGTAACCATTCAATTTAACTTAAATATCTTGTTTATTTAAAGTGGGCAACTTTGGGTATTTATTTTTTTCTTCCTAGGTGCATTGTGTTGTGATCATTCCAAGGATAACCAAATGTGCCATGATGTTTGTGAACAGGTAAGTTTACATAATAATTCTAGAGGGTATTAGTTATATAATTGTTTATAGTTACATAACTGAATGCAATGCATGATCCTGGATTGGATCCTGGAATTAAAAGAACATTATTGGGATAAATTTGTAAAATTTGAACACAGACTGTAATAATATTGGATCAGTGCTTGCTCTGATCCTGAATTTGGTGATTGTATTGTGGCCAGGTAGGATGGTGTCCTTGTTCTTAAGGGATACATGCTGGAATTTAGGAATGAATAATGTGTCTGCAATGAATTCTAAAATACTTTATCAAAATAATAGCAATAATAATATGTGTTTATGCAGAAAGTTAAATCATATGTTGCAAAATAGTGGGCCAGTCTAGATGAAGACTAGATGTTCACTGTGCCACTTTTGAAACTTTTCTGTAGGTTTTAATTTTTCTTGTTGAGCCTTTTCAGGCAAGTTCTACTGAAACAATACCTAAAGTCTTAAAGTCTTCCCTTTCTTTCATCATCTTGGTTGTGTAGTTCTAGCCTTAGTGCTTGAAAAGTAATGGCTTCAATCATCTTTTTGTTCTCAAATATCTGGATTTTGTCACTGCCTAAAAGAAAGCTATCTAACTGGGATTAAAAGTACTCTCAAACAATATTGTGAATTTAGAGAGATTTTGCAAGATACTTCCTAATTATAAAACAAGACTGTGACTTGGCTTATCTAAATAGCTGCCTCAGAATTCATGTCGAAACACTACAGCAGATTGTTTTCTACAAACTTATTGCCAGAAAAATAGCTTTTAAAAGCAAAAATGGCTCTTTGATGCTGTCACCATAAGGGAGTTTTTAAAGAAGCTCTGCTGCTTTGGAATTTCTCTATTTTTGATCATTAGGAAATAGGGTCTAGAATTGCTATAGTTGCATTTTCTTGGTTATTTGCCAAATTAACCAACCTTTTAAGAAATGTCATTTTAATGGAGACCCTTTCAAAGGTTTTTCATTTATAAGAGGAAGATATTCTAGACCAGCGTTTTTCAACCGCTGTTCCGCGGCACACTAGTGTGCCGCGAGATGTTGCCTGGTGTGCCGTAGGTGCAGACAAGACAAGAATTTTATAATTTTTCACTATTTTGTTTACTTAATATTTCATAATAAAGTAATTATAAAATACTTTCTTTGTGTTTATTTGAT